ACATTACACATAACTAACAATTTCCATAATTTTCGCAACGAATTACAGATCTTGCTGAAACATCAACCCAAGAAACCTTACAAATCCAAATCGAAATCAAAATCGAGAAATAATTTCAATGTGCGATAGCGTTTTACAATCAATACGTGAACAAATGTCCCTCAGAGAAAAGTTTTCAATAACCACTGAAAATATGCATCTATCAAAAAACTTTTCACAAACAGATATCATAGCATATCTTTTGCGATATCACCTTCTCGGTGCTTGTTTCATATAGAAATTCTTCTTGTACTCACTCTCCTGTCCCTGCAACGAATGCATCAAATCCTTTGTTTTCTTACGTCGCATTCGGTCGTTTGCCTCGATTTCTGAACGCTTCTCTCTGAAAACAAACAGAAAAAACGTTGAACTGAAATGAAATGAAGCACCTAGCACATAAATAATCCTTGCTGGTAGTCTTATTTTATGCTTTCTCTTTTCACTATCATCAATTTTCATTATCTGACATATCACTAACAACTATCTGACGTGATCGCTTAACTTCACTTCATTTAATTGACAAGCTCAAAAACTAAAAATAGACTATTCAACTTGTAATTAATAGTTCGCTCACTACATCAACACGAATCAAACTATTTTCAACTCAGAGAGCAAAAATCAAAAGTCAAAAATGATTTTTTTTGTCAGATCGAAACGAATAGAATTTGAACGAATAAATGAATATACTTTGCAATGAATTGATTATCCTTCCGTAACTCTCGCATTGCACCGCGCATTTCTTTTTTATATTTTCGTTTCAATAACTTATTTTCCGCCGTCTTCCCTTCTTTCGCTATATTCACTTTCCGTGATCGTTCCGCATCGAAATTCTCCTCGAATCGTGGCTCCAACATTTCTAGCATTCTACAAACACCATCAGTTCTTTTCAGTAGAACATAATAATGATAATACTGGCAATTGAACGCTAATAATGATCATATTAATACGAGAACCAATACCGAAATGAACAAATCACTCGTGATAGCAACATAAGAACAGCGATAATGATACCAAACAGAGCATACTTCTTTTGTTGTTTCTGTTTTTGTAACTGTGTCAAATTGGAGTTTTTCGCGCATTCAGCAGCGATGCATGCTTGCAACTCAGACAAACTGGCTTGTAGAGACTGAGGGTATCGTTGTGACGGCAATCTCTTCAACAATTCTGCCAACGGACTAAACCATAATCAAATCATTCATGAATTTCCACTGACAAACTCTCCATGAATGATAATCTGATGTAATCCAACTGTAACCTCAAGTGAACTTCTCTTCGATAAGTCAAAATCGCTCCTCCCGTAACAAAACTTTCTTACTGAACTCTCTGTTTTAAAAAGTCCTCATCATAGATTAGAACTGCACGAAAACTGCAGACAGAATGAAAAATGAAAAATAACGCATAAAAATGAATTGCTCCAAATCAACCGACCCAAAAATACTTTTGAAGGAATGCTGATGGGTTGAATAAAGTAAAACGATTTTGCACAACAATGCGAATGTGAACTTCAGAACACTCAAACGATTCACATCTGTATCGTCGAATCT